CCCCCCCCCCTGCTAAAATACAGAGGAGTAGGGGCAACGGGGGAGGACGTAGGTTTGTCTTATCCTCGCTTCTAATCCAGAAAGGAGCAATCCCCCGCACCAGTCAGGCAGATCAACCTAGCCGAACCTCTCCGCCGACTGCCCCTTGAAGCGACCTTGCAGCGGAGACTTGCATATTCCTCCGCAGTCACACGCCCTCACCGCTGTTTGGGATTTCTCGGTACCAAGCCCTATACAATTCTCGAACACGTTGTTTGGCTTCAGCCAAGTCCCGGCTGAAGATCGGCTTTACCGCAGCCTCAGTGGCGGTAGCAGCTATCCTCCCAGCTCCGGCCGCCGCCATTTCGCTAACCGACCTATGCGACACCCACGTCGTTTTCCGCACGAAGTGGGAGGGCTCTAGGTTGTCTGAATCTCCATTGGCTTAACATCATGCCATTCACCCGATTGAGTACTATAAGAAGTTTTGCGTGGCTGGTACGGCAGCTGTAAGTGTTCTGTTTAGGTTCCGAATGGAGTAGATACATTAGGAGGACGCACAATTTGTTCCTTGTTAGCAGTAAAGGTCAGTATTCTTTTGTAGTCCTATGGACTACAAAGTATAAATAAATATTTACATTCAACTGCAATTACGCTTTTGCCCTTTCTTTCACTTTCATCAGGAGTCGTTTCTGTCCTTTGCTGCTTTCTGCCAACCGTACGGTATCAGCTGCATATCTTAAGCTGTTATGTGTCTTCCGCCCATTTTCACTCCTCCTTTTCATTCTAATTCAACTTTTGTTATCACATGTTCTGCGTACAGCTTGAACAGTTGTGGAGAGAAAACCCACCCTTGCCTGCCTGACCCCATTGCCTATGGGAAACCCTATTCTGACCTAACTGTAGCTTCTTGTCCACAATACAGTCTACACATGAGGACAGTCAAGTGCCGAGGCACACACGTCTTTCGGGACCATCCATAACTTCTTACAATGCACACAGCCCAAGGCTTTGCTGTAGTCTAACGCACAGATCAATCTTCTGAAATTCAAATGGTCAACAAATAGTTTCTGAAATGATCCTAGTGCCTCTCCCTTTTCAGAATCCAGCCTGAATGCCAGGCATTTCTTGCACCGTATGTGATACTTTTTTTTTGTTGCAACACTTTGAGCATCACTTTGCTTGTGTGGGAAATTAGTGTGATGGTCGTCCGGTTGCTTCATTCTTTTGCATCCCCTTTCATGGGAATTGGAATGTACATTGAACATTTGCAGTCTGTGGGCCATGGTTTTGTTTTCCATATTTGTTGAGCTATTTTTCTTAGGATTTGGACTGATTCATTTTCTTCCAGCTTGGGATAGTTCTGTTGATATCCTCTCTACTCCAGGTGCTTTATTTTCTGTAAGTGTTCTCAAAGCAGCTTTCATTTTGTTTTCTGATATTGCAGGCTCTTCTTCATAGGATCCACTACAAAGAAGGTTGTCATCCTTTCTTCTCTTCTGTATTGTTCTTCTGTATATTCTTTCCACATTCTCTTTATTTTTCCCTGGTCAGATAGTGTGCCTCCCTGTTTTTCTTTTAGCACACCTAATCTAGATTTGAATTTCTCTTTGATTTCTTGGATTTTCTGGAAGAAGTCTCTCTTTTTTCCTCTTTTGTTGTTCTCTGCTATTTCTTTGCACCGGCCGTTGTAATAGTTCTTTTCATTTCTACAGGAGAGTCATTGAAAAAGTTGACTTCAGGATTCTGACATTATTTCTCTCACTTTTTGCTTTTGCTTCTCACCTGCCCTTGGCAACTGTGTTTCTTTTGTCATCCATCTAGACTTTTTCTTTCTTTTTGTTACAGGAATTGTCTTTCGGCATTCTACCCTAATGATGTTTAAGAAAATAATGGACTGTTCATTAGAGAAATAATGTTTCAGTCCACAGTTCTTCTGGTGTATGGGCAATTAAGTTGAGCAATCCTAATCTGTTATTTCTGTGGGATGGGACCAGACCACTGAAGAAAACCCAGTGAAGGGGGTGCACTGTCTACGTGACTGCAACAGAGAAGGAATTTTAGAGGTTATGTAGAATTAAATTATCTCTCTCTCTGACAGTTAGGCATGTCAAGAGTAAATTGTTTTTAACTGACACTTGACTGACCAAAAGACTCAGAAGCTTTCTGATACAGGTAGGGTGTTTAATGAAACAATTTGGATGTACAATAAGAACAAGCTATCGTCAGGAACCAACACACAATTTAATCTTCAAAGACTTTAACTACTTCACAAACCTGGCAAAAGGGTTTTTTTCTCTTCTTCTTTTGGATGCCATATAAATGCAGGGTTCCCAGAAATACAAAAAAGGCTGGAGAGAAGAATTATCCAGCTGTGGTGCATCTTAAGTATGTGAGGCTGACAGTTCTTGACAGTGTAGTACCCAGTTTTATTTATTTATCGATTTATATCCTGCCTTTTTCCTACAAAGGGCCCAAGGCGGCTTACATCCTCCTCCTCCTCCTCCTCCTCCTCCTCCTCCTCCTCCATCCTATCCCCACAACAACCCTGTGAGGTAGGTTGGGCTGAGAGTCTGTGACTGGCCCAAAGTCACCCAGTTGGTTCCATGGCTGAGCAGGGACTAAAACCCAGATCGCCTGAGTCCCAGTCCCATGCTCTTAACCACTACACCACACTGGTTTTAAAACCAGAGTTCCTACTTCCCTGTGTAAACAAGTTGCATGTCAGAAGTCCAGTGGAGAGGCAGCCAAGTCCCTGCCAACTGTCCCTAAATGCCCTTGACGCCCTCTGCTGAGACTACTCCACTGTTGGAGAGGGGTGCTGGGATAAGGGAGGCCGCATGAATCAGACGGGCCAGGAATGGGCATTATTCAGTCCTGCCTTGTAATGCTGCTTGTGCTGACGCTTCATTTTGGGTCGGTGTTCCCAGGCTTTAGAGGCTACACTTCTGTCCTGAGGCTTGCAAAAAGTTCCATCAGGTGCCTCTAGTGGGAAATTTGGAAAGCGCTTTCCCGGGCAAGTATTCACCTGTACAGGTAAGAGAGAATGGTTGTCTGCGGCAGAATCAAGTAACAGCAAAAGATTATATTTAAAAATCAAACATGCCAACCACAGAATAGCTGCTACAGTTTCTTTGGCCCAGCAGTCCTAGTGCAACTCGAAATCTCTCACCTGGAAGAGTCTAGTTGGTTCTAGTTCTTTCTCCTGGAAGGCTGAGGTGGAATTGCCGGATCCGTCTCATTCATGGAATCCTAAGCTGCATGTCACTGGTGAGAAACAGAGCTGAAAAGGACTAGGACTTTTTTTAATAAAGATTTTTATTAAAATTTTTAAACTAAAAACTAAAAACATCAATCATCAAATACATCGGACGTACTGGGTCAGCCCCTTATAACATATCTTTTTAACATTCTATAATCAAATTCAAACCAACTTATAAAAATTTAAAAACATCTTTAAATCAAAGTCAAATCCCATTTCTCCAGCCAATCATAAAAAAGATCCCAAGTTTGATAGAAGTCAGTATCTTCTTTCTCCTTCAGTAATAGAGTCAATCTGTCCATTTCTGCACAGTCCAGAATCTTTTTTAAAATCAGTTCCTCAGTGGGTAATTTCTCACTCTTCCAGTACTGAGCAAGTGCAATCCTCGCCGCTGTGATTAAATGTAGCATCAAATACATTTCTTGTTTGCTAAAATTTTCCAGTATAATGCCTAACAAGAAAATTTCAGGTTTAAAGCTAAGGGTTTTTGTAGCATTTCCTCAAGCCATTTATGTATTTTAATCCAATACTTTTTCACATATTCACAGGTCCACCACATATGGTAAAAAGTACCCACATCATGTTTACATTTCCAACATCCGTTTGACATATTTGGAAACATCTTAGCTAATCGACTTGGCGACAAATACCATCTATAAAACGTAGGACTAGGACTTTTAAGGAGGGCAAAGCTTCATATTTCTATGCCTTCCGTACAGCTTCTGGAATTCCATACCTTCAGTGGCTGTAGCTGCAGTTTCAGCGAACAACTACTTTGTGGGCTACTTTAGATTTCAGTAGTATTCTTCTCTTCAGAATGTTAATGCACAAACTATATGCATATTCAAAACTACTTTAGACATGTTTTGGGAAAGGGGTTATTTGCTCTGCTCTGTTAAGTGTGTTCCCAGTGCACCAACATCATTTTCTAGCTTATAGAACCTTCCTGACTGTGGAACTGATTTGCTTCGCTTGCTTTTGTGCAGTGCGTTGTAGTACAGCTCATGGGAGCTGCATGACACCCTTCGCACTGGTGGAGTATCTCTGCCGCCACAGCCCTTGCATTTTCCGGGGTCCTCCCAACAAGAGTGAAAATCTTGACATGGCCTCTTCTTGACAATTGGGGGATAAATTGGAAACCAACATTGGTGCCAGTCCAGAGATAAGATCAGGTAGTTTGGGAAGTCAGACCTGGGGAGAAATTCAGTTGGAGAGGATTCACCAGGATCTCCAGGTACTGCATCCTTTCCCCCAATATGCGTAAAACTGTTTTTAAAAAGATTTTTTAATTCTGTTGGCTGTGAGTAGTGCCCCTGTTTGCTAATTTATTTAACCGATCTGTATGCAGGTCATCCTGCGTTAAAGCAGTACACCATAAAAACTTACATTTAATAATACATGTAAAATCAATATTTTAATGTGTATGAATAGTAATTGGATTTTATTGTTTGTATTTTATTAATTACAGCCAGTATGGAATAGTCAATTTGTTTATTTTATTCTGATTTATGTTGTAAGCGTCCAGAGACGCAAGTAATGGGCGGCATACAAAATTTATAAATAAATAAAAATAAATAAAACAGAAAATGAAACTGTTGGGCAAGATTGAGAATAACAGCCGTGAGGACGGGGGGACCCTCCGAATCATCAAATAGATTAACAGCCAAATTCACAAAAGCAGGCAAAGCAAATTAGTTCCACAGTCCTTGTGGAAAACAGGAAAGGAAAAATCGCCTTGATTTCTAACAGGGAGATTGTTCCACAAACTCGGAGTGAGAGCAGTACAACATTTTCTTTCAGTTCTGGATGCCCTAACTTTACATCATGAAGCTTAAAGAAGCAATATGGGACTACCTCTCATGTTGGGCAATTGTGCCCAAGCCATGGTAGGCAAACACCTACATATTGATTGGGTCCAAAGAACACAATAACACACACGCAGGGATTGAATGTAGCTTGTTGCAGAACTGTGGATTGTTGCTGAAACATGCATCACTGTATTGTCTGAACCCAGCTATGTTTCCAAGCTGTGGCTTGTTTATCACAAACAGCCCAAGAAGTGAACCAATGTTGCAAACTCATGAGTTGTTGTTTGGTTATGAACCGTGGGTTGTTAACTAAGGATTTTCAACCCAGCAGGATCCCGACCACATGATAACTCATGCTTAAGCAGATCATCTAGTTCAGGGGCAGCCCACACTCAACCTATACGCAACTCTTGAGTGTGCGTTATCATATTGTCTGTCCACAGTCCTTGTATTGTGCTTGGAAGCCTGCTGGCAGGTGGTGCAGTTGCCACAGTATTGGCTTATCTTCACAGCTCCTGTTACTATAATTTTATTATGTTAACCAATATGTTGTTACCATTAACTAACTAATCAGCAGGAAGCAAGCAGTGACACTGTAAAACTGTATTCAAAACCTAAACTTAATAATACATGCAAAATAGGAAACAAAACAATTGAACAAGACTGAGAATAATAGCTGTCAGAGGTGGGGAAACGATCCAAACCATCAAGCAGATTAAAGCCAAATTCATGGAATCAAGTGAACCTCTATGTTCTGGGTCAGTGTGCAGATAGGCAGAAAGGGAAGCTCCACTGACCCAGGAGAGAGACAACGTCCAGGAGCACGTCTAGGCTTCACTGCTATGCAAAGTGAATATCGACAGCCCATAAAAATGAGGCACATGAACCCTCACAGTCTTCCCTAATGGTTTCAGCTAAGCCAGAGGTGAGCAACAGGCAGCCCTCCAGAAGTTGTGGCTTCGCATTTCCCCTCCTCTAAGCATCCTAGGTCTGTTGTGCATTACAGTCCAATATCATTTGGAGGGCCACATGCTGCCTGGTCCTGAACAAAGCCTTGCTTTGCCTTAAATCAACTTCAGGCCTTATTGCTGCTTTATAGATCTGCAACATATAGCTGGATTTATCCACATGGGTCATTCTTCTAATCCCCTCCTTGGGATTAATTTGGTCCACGTGCAATTCCCCTCAGTTATAGTGGCAAAATGCTAGCATGCCTATGAAGAGGAGTGTGTTAACTGTGGGTCACTCTCCCACAGTGACTGGAAGGGGAGAAGAAAGGCGAATCGGAAGAGCGGCAGGAGCTGGTACACCTGCAATCTGTGGGACAGCACTCAGTGAGGAAGAAGCAAAGCAGAGGCAAGACGAGGACTCTGATGGCAGCGATCCCAGCGTCTGGCTCGTGGCTGTGTGCCCAGGCCTCATCCTGCTGGAATAACCTCCCAGCACTGTCCATTTCTCTTGTCCTGCTTGCCCTGCTGCTCGATTACATGAAGCGGAGGCAGCGGTGCCGTCGCTGCCCTCCAGGACCTGCTCCTCTGCCTTTCATTGGGAACTTGCTGATGCTTGACCCAAGGAAGCCACAGGAACTCGCTGCTGAGGCAAGTATAGTCTCTGCTCCCCTCCTTCTGAAGCTGTTGAGTTTAAGGTGGTGTGGTAAGGGAGATGGTCAGTGCACACACCTGTGCCCCAGTGCAGAGCCTCACCCAGGTATCAGGCCAGAGCTCCGACTCTAAGCATGTAGGTGTGGAACTTACTTACAGGTAAAGAAGGAAATCTGAACTACAAAGGTGGCTGCCAGTGTAGCTGGAAATACAGAAGCAGGACACGAGTACATGGGTCAAAGTAGGGCCACATTTGTTAAAGCAACAAGAGGATCTGCAG